CCAAACAATTGTCTTCCTTACACATTAAAAATATGTATCCAGACTCTTGGACAATGGACACACTTTATATAGTGATACTCTCTAGAATCTAGATGGATACCTAATCATAAACCCCTCTTCTATATATATATATATATATATATATATATATATCCTTCAGTCCTTTCAAATAATAACTAAGGTACTGGCAATTTCTTTAGCACCAAGAATCCACTTTTAGTCCAAATCATTTTACCTTAGTAATGACATACCAAGCACATTCAAGAGCAAGTTACACAATATGCTGTTTTTTTGCAAATGATACAGTCCTAGTTGATGAGTTAAGAAAAGAAGAAAATTATAAACTTGAAATATGGAGAAAAGATTTGAAATTAAAGGGTTTTACATCAAGTAGGATTAAAGAGAATAAGGAATAAAAGTTCAGCAAGTTAGTAATGTTTCATACGTGTAAATTGGAGAGCACGTCATAATAAGTTGCATGGTCAAGCATCTTACTAAACCCTAAACCCTAAACCCTAAACAGGATGCATGTTAAGTGGATGAAATGAAGAAATGCATTAAGGTATAATTTGTGGTCGCAAGATTCCAATCAAACTAAGGAAAATCCTACCAGACCATATACAAGACCAGCAATGGTCTATGGCAGTGAATGTTAAGGGCCGCTATGGCATCAGTGACACAAAAAGATGGTTCAATTAAAAAAGGAAGAGGAAGACCAAAAAATTTTGGGAGAAACCACTAGAAAATAAATTTACCACAACTGGATGGTTTTGATAGAGAACAATGATGTTTTTTAATCCATGTAACCAGCCACACATACTAGGATAGGGTTTGATTATTCTTGTTGGAAAGCATCTGTTACTAAATACAGTAAATGCAGTTTGCTACAAAGTGGAAAAGAACTACAAAACCTGTACAGGAGAGAAGATTGACCAAAGAAATCCACCAATTTCTACAAGTTTCTTCCATATTTATCAAATAAATTTTACTAACACAATTTAATGGTTCAGTTAATAGGCAGTGATGCTTATTCCGAGACACCAATTACTCTCAGTTCAAGCAATCAAATCTACAGCACTACAAAAAAATATTGGCTTTTCATGTAGCCCACTGGCTGCTGTCACCCTTACAACTCATTATGGCCGTTCATCTTTAAGCACACGCTCAACCCAGCTGTAAGTTTGCTCAACCATGAATTATTTTACTAGTTCTATTATGAGATTTATGCTTGATAATTCTGGGGACCTAACTCTAGCACTTTTGAGTTCCTTTGGATTCATACCAGAACACACAGATTCTTTGTCCAACTCTTTTTGACCTGGGATTTCTCATCTAACTGGACATCCCACTAGTCGCCAGAGTATCCATGTTATTTTAAAAAATATACATCAGAATCATGGCATAATTGATAATATAACTCACAGGTAAAGCTTGAAGAACAACTAATGCATGTGCAAGAAAAATAGCATCCAAGCTGGATGGCCTGCGTAAACAGAATAAAGCATGGAAATACATTACCAGAAGTTCAAAGTCAAAACTTGATCTCAACATGAAAAGAACTCAAAATGATAGCACATATTGCTTTAACAATGAACAATGTGACATATATCATGGCCAGCAGAGTCACCTGTTTTCGAAAAGGTAGTTCTGTTCCCCTAACCAAGTCGACAGAGCATCATATGCAGAGTTTGCTCTCGCATAAATCTGTTGATCAGAGAAGGCTATATATGATTATCAAAATCAGAGACAATAAACATAAATATATATGTACAGCATGGAAGCTATTGTGCACAAAAATAAAAATGAACTAATAAAAAAAGAATTTAATAGAGTAAAAGCTTATAATGTCATCAAATTCTGAATTGCCATATAACTGAAAATTGCTGAATTTTATAATAATTACTTCAAAAGTCTTATCTAGAGTGATTTCTAATTGGTTGACAGATAGTGTAAAAATCTTTCAAAACAAAACTCTTAAAAATAAATTCCTACAGAGCATACAAAGTTTAGAAATGGAAATAGAGAACTTTTCATAACCTCAAGTGTCATCAGAGCAAGTATCAAGAGAAACTAACCTCTTCTTCCTTTACTTCAGCATTGTCTTTATTTATCCCATGTTTCTGCTTTACCCAGACAGCTTTCTTCCATAACAAGACCTTCCCTATAGGCCAGGGGAGGTCAGAATAATAGATACCATAAGCCGAGGAACTGTCACATCCCACCCATAGTTCATACTCAAGTGCATCAGCAAGCCAGGTGGTAAGCATCACCTTGGTTGGTATCCAATCAGGGAGAGAAGAAACCCCACTATCTAAATCACCCACATCCCTTTTCAAGCACTCAACGATCCCCTCCTTCTCATTATTATATGCCACACAATCACCAGCCTCATAGTAAGGAATCTGATCTAAACACCACACAGAACACAGCCAAAAAAGAAAATTCATTAAAAGCATAAAAAAGCAAACAAATTCAAACACCCATATGCAAAAAAGGAACAAAAATAGCAAAAAGAAAGAAACTTTCATCATAAGGGGTATTATGAGTATGAATGCAAGTAACATTACCCACCCAGAACCAGAAGCCTCAAACACAATCAAATGGCCAAAAGGCCTAAACTTTGAAAAATTAAACAAAGGGGCTATTATTCTAATGGTAAATAAATAACCAAACTTTATTTTCTAGCATAAAAGAGATGAAGAATGAGGCTTACCAGAATCAGGGTAGTTAGGGTGGTAGTCTAAGTTGAAGGGATGTTGAGAGAGCTTGAGAAAGATGTAAGCTGACAGACATTGAGGGCAACCGGTTGGGAGACCAAAACATGGTTTTCTGACGACAAGGTTGTTCCTTTGTGTGCTCTCATTCTGTTCCGTTGCCATGTACAAGTATAAGAAGAGTGTGATGGGTCAACTCAAAACTGAACCCTAAGAACAAGGGGAAGGTTGGTTCGCTACAACAAACAAGAATTTGGAACCAAAACAGGGTTTAGGATTTGGACTATGGTCTCAATTTTGGATTCCGTACAATGTGCGTCCGGGCTTGGGTTTTTCCTCAATTTTGTTATCAAATATAAAAATAGAAAAAAAATTAAAATTAAAATTAAAGAACATGCACACTAAATAAATGTGTACAAAAGTGGTGAGAGATTTGAGTGTTGATTATAACATATTAGCAATAAAGTGATATTTTCAGATATTATTTTATATTCAAGTTAACAATTGAACTTCGTTCCTTGATTAAAGAGGACAAAGATGGAATCACTTGTCTTAACAATTTTTATTATATATTTAAAATTTAATATTATTACAATTTATAAATAAATATAAAACAATTTATATTGTGAACTAATAAAAGTTAGTATTGTAATGATTTTTAAAATAATTATTTTAAAACTCAATAAATTAATCATGTGTCTAGTTTTTAAAATAATTATCATAAAAGTTAATAAGTTTATTATTTATGGTAAATTATGATTGAATGATCATGTAAAGTTGTTATATATTCTTAGTGTATTATCATTAAATCATTCATGGTAGTAGTGGTTTATAATTAAATAATAATATAAAATTGTTTTGCATTCTTGGTGCATAGTTTTTTTTCCTTAAAAAAATTGATTGTCACATTTATTTTTAATATTTTTTTGATATATTTATGAACATGGTTTCAAATTTTGATTAGGTTGTTTGGTTCAGTTGAAGAATCAATGAAGTAACTTCGTACATTATGTTAATAATTTATGTTAAACTTATATGGATTGGTCCAAATTATCTAATGAATCTGGATTATTTGTTCTTTTTATTTGAAAGTACATTAAAATGGTGTTGTTTGTTAAAAAAAATGCATTCTAAAAGTGAACTTATTTAGCAAATCCTTAATTCAAGTTGTCCTAGTAAAGATTGAAATGTTATATTATTAGACAAAATGTGACTGATCTTACTTAATTTTGAAAATTACAAAACATTTAAAACTTTTATAAAAAGTATTTGTCAAATCATATTTATAAATACATGTTTGAACTCAACTTTATATATGATTTTCTATATATACTTTTGCATCATATTAGTATCTTTTCCAAGTTAAAAGTTTATCCTAATAAAAAATCTCGTTATAGCTCTTTTTCAAAGTCAAAATATCTTACCTATTTGTTCTATCAAAAGGTGCAATTAAAAAGCAAAAAGTATTGCAATAATTTCTCTAATAACAAACAGTTTTATCCTCTACAATATGAAATTTGTTACACTCTCTACTCCACATATCATAATACATAAATTAAATAAATCTAAATTAAGAAAATCTATCGTAAATGAAATCCAAAAGTTAAACAGAAGGGTATCACATTTTAACAAACGGAATCAATTGAAGTTCAAATAAAATCTAATATGTTAAAATAACAACTGTCCTAATTGTTGCACATATGATATTTCAAAAGGAAAATTCCCACATTGGTTGAACCACTCAAGTGTAGAGACTTTATATATCAAATTACTCCTTACATTTCCAAAGAGGTAAGCAATGGGTGGTGGGTTCGCGCATGTAAGAATGGGCCTTGTGAGCCCATTGTAGTTCAAACATGTTGGTTCCCCCCATGTTAGTAAAGAGATAAAATGAGACCTACTAAATATAAATTATTGAATTAAAGTTAATAAGTCTTTACTTATTATTTAAGAAAAAAAATTATTTCCAACTAAATCACTTTCTTGTTATTGTGTGTTTTTTTTAAGTAATATGATTATAGAATGTTTGTTTATCAATTGACTTTTTTCATGAATCAAGTTGTTATATTTTTTTTTCACAAATATGTCAATTCTTAACTATGTTTTACTCTTAGGTATGGTCTAAATATATGATTTTGAGAATACAAAATATTTTCTCTTATTTTTCCATATAAGAAATAAATGAATAATTGACCCATCAAAAATAGTCAAGTTAATTAATTTAATTTATAATATTGTAAAATTTAATTTTATTTCAAAAATATCTCTAAACTTAAGTAATTAAATAATGATTAAATTAATAATATAACACCTAATTCAATAAATATTTATTTATATTACCTCCATTCTTTTTATAATAGTCATTTAAGGTTATTTTACACAAATAAAGAAATGTAATAACTTTTTATTTTCATTTAATGATTTTTCATGTTTCCTAGTATATTTTCTTTCACCCTTGCTTCATAATAAATGCATATTAGTTGGTATGTATAAATTAATTAAAAGTTAATGATATGTAATGATATTGAAAACATAGTAATTAATGTTGTCTTGAAATTTAAAAATGATACTCCCTCCGTTTTTTTTTTCATAGTCGTTTAAGGTTTTGCACAGGACTTAAGGAAATCATTGATGTTTTAGTTTTCAAAAACATTTATTATTTACTTTCCTATTTTACCTTTTTTTTTTTTTGCAATTTTGAGACTGTTGAACTGCAATCTACCCCATTAATTATTAATGCATTGATTACATATTGCTTTTTTTATAGTGCTTGCTTTTTTTTTATTTTTTTATTGTATTTTGTTGGAAACATATTGCTCTTATAAATGCACATTAACTTTATATGGGTAGTTGGAGAAAAAATAGGTAGACATCAAAAATAAATACACACACTGTTCAGTAAACATGTATTAATTATCAAGGGTAAAAATGGAGAAAAAAAATTAATAAGTCATTGAATTTAGTAAAATGACAATGAAAAAAAAAACAACAAACTCTGACAAAATGACTATAAAAAAAATGGAGGGAGTAAATAAATAGACAAAATTTTACTAAAAATCTTATAGATAAAAAGGAATGGAGGGAGCAATTAATAATACACTTATTTCTATGAGAGGTAAGTAGGTATCTCCATAAGGGGACATTTGTTAAATGTAAAGTTTTTTCATGCCTGAAAATCATAGTTCTTAGTAGTTATAAATCCTAAGAATTAGGATTCATAAGTGATTAAATTTGTTAGGAGATGTTTGGTACACGATAATTTTTTTCATGCCTAAGAATCATAAATATTGAGAATAATGATTCTTAGTAATGATGAAAATCTATTTGGTTAATCACAAGTGTTTTTGAAATGTTTATAATAAGCAATTAAAGATAATGTGACATTTTTAGAATACTAAAACTCGAGAGCATATCAAGTGAGAAGAATTTATTATGAGAAAGTGAAAAGGTTAAAATATAACCCTTAGATTAATCAAGTGAGAGAAAATTTGAGATTTAATCAAGTGAGAGAAAATTGATTAATCTAAGGGTTATATTTTAACCTTCTCACTTTCTCATAATAAATTCTTCTCACTTGATATGCTCCCACTAAAACTATTTTTTAATTCAAAAATATTAGTTTCTCATCTCATCCATGAAAAAAATTCAATGGAACACTTATGTAAAAAGTATTATCGATAAACAATGTTACTTAAAATTATTATTTTTTAAATAATAAATCAAACAAGAGAGATTAACATTTTCAACGTCAAATTTTTGAAAAAGTAAAATCGTTTTGTATATCAAACACTCCCTTAGGTTGGTCAAAAATATCTTTGAAAATATTTATAAATGTTTCATGATATCAAATATTTTTACTATATTGATTAAATAAATTAAGATAATATAATATTTTTACTATGATAAGAAATCTCTTTTAACCCATAAATGTTAGATTTTCACCTATCATGAGAATAATGTGATGGGAGTAAAAAACTTGTATAAAGAACATTTTCAAAAAACTATATTTTCAAGATTTTCTTTTAATGATAAATCAAATATGAGAAACTAACATTTCTAATTTTAAATTCTTAAAAAAATAAAAATAATTCACAAATCAAATACAAAAGAAAGATATAAAAACATAATTATCAATACATCCATAATGATTTCATGTTTCTTATAATTAGAATTAAAAATAGCAATTTATTTCGTATATTTTTTTGTAGGATAATTTTATTTCATATATAATAAAAAATGCTTTTTGTAAAAACACTCTTAATTGATATAAAAAGTAATTAATAATGACAGTTGCATTTACACTAATAATAATAATAACAATAACAATTATAATAATAAGTCATACTGATGATGAAAAAAAATTATGGTAATAAAGATGATGATCAAAATAGTTGACAACCACAATAAAAATATGAAAATTTATAAATTTAAAAGTAAATAATGTAATTTAATAATTTAAGTATCAATTTTAGAAAAACTTTATTCATATTTATGCAAGTTAGGATTATTGAATACATGGATCAAATAATATAAGATAATTTTAACTTAAAGAAATATGAATGACACTTTCTTACTAATATTCTCCATTATTAGTTAAAAATCATAAAATTTAGTAAGTTCAATCACTTAATTAAGAAAGTGACTCATTAAATAACATGAAAGATTCAAAATTAACGATAAAACAAGATTAACTTATTAAGTAAATTTCAGTCCCAAAAATAAAGACAACATTTTAGGGTGTGTTGGAGAAAATGCAGCTAACAATCCTTTTTAAACTTAGTCAAATATTTAATTTGAAACAATTTGAAAAATAATTATATTGGTAATACTAATAATCAAACCACGACACTAACTCAAATAAGATTGACTTTCATGAAAATAATACTTAAGATCTTGAAAGAAAGTGAAATATGATTTTTAATTTTTATTAACAAATTAATAATTTTTTATATTAAGAAAATATTTTGTTATAACAATTACGAATTTTTAATTCCATTAAAAATATTTAAACATTCATTGAACCTAACACTATTTTGGAATAACAATTAAATAATAATTAGTAAATAATTTGGATACAATTATCAATAGAACATGGAAAATATTTCCTTGTGATTAAATGTTATTATTAGAATAAAATAAAACCTTCCTAATTTGAATTGTTTATTATTTTCCTTAAAAATGAAGAATAATTGGGTAACATTAATAGTATTATTTAGGCGAGTTTCCATGTTTGTCCCATTCTGCCTCACACGAGAGAGACCAAAGAGAAGAAATAGCAAAAGGGGGTGCGTGGAATTAGCGCTTTTCTTTTTTATCCATTCGCACGCAGCTTTTGTTT